AAATGATAAAAATGTAGTTTTCAATATTACGCCGCTTATAATCTTGTCACTGAGTACTATTCTCTAGCAATGCTTCGTTGATTGATGATCACGGCGATACTTGAGTTATGTTCTGGAATATACGACCCTATAAGTGTCTGCTCACTACACTAAAGTTTGAACTAAACCATGTGACAAGCATTTAGATGCCAACTGAAAGACTTTTCTTCAAGCACCCTGTAATACTCTGTCAATGAATTAATGGACTTTCAAACATAACGCTATTTGAGTATTTTCTATTTTATTTATAAAAGTGTTTATTTCAATGTCATACTTTCATACTATTGCCTCATGTCATGTATTTGTTATCTATCATACTCGTATATCAACTTATGACGATCCTCGATGAAGAACATTTTGTATTGTAATTTAACGACAACAATATTAATCATTATTTTATTATTGTGTATTTTTCATTTAAAATTTTCAGTTTTGTTTGACGATTTCGATATACCTAATTCATACTGTACCTGACATTATATTTGAGAAATAAATAATCTAATGTAATCTATTACACTCAGCAGTTACACTATATTAAAAAGGGATATTAATTGTTTGTTTTTATTACAATAAAATTGTTTTTTTTTTCTAAATACAAAATGTGGGTAATATTATAATATTAGCTTGTGTTTATGTTGTGTTGCTCGATTTACTAGTGAAATTTATGATATGAAATGTATTCAACAATATTTTGCAATACAGACCGTATTACCTCACTTGGTATAAGTACATTTACGTATGTATATACCTACATATAAAAAGTTAAGTTGTACTTATAATTTATAGTACTTGCTTAGATCACGTAAAGAACACAAATAAAATAATTGACAGCAATGAATACAAGCTCCTCTGTGCGATGCTATCTCAAAATTCTTTCGAAATGCAACTAACGGAATGCTATGAGCATGTTCTTATTAGTAATGAAAGGCGTACTAATGAAATGATGCAACAATGCAACGCGAGAATGCCATTTTGGAATACAGCAGTTTAAATGCATAAGAATTTTATTTTTTCATTAACTTTATGGGTAAAAACGCCTTACTCGCCTCTCTCCAAACTCGAGGTAGATATACTTACTCATACCCACAGAATTAATTGTCCTTCCTATTTGTATCTGATCGACTTTGTGCGTAAGTATATAGGCACTTCCATAAGGTTGCCTTCAACTTGTCTGTCGGCAGGTGGATATTGCTTCAGTATTAATTTCCTCCGATGACATCTATAGTACGTTCTTGCTGTGCCAACAGGAAAGCCCAAAGGATGTTTCGAAATCGCCATAAACACTGGTTTGCTTTGTTATTTCATACCTTAACGTTTTCTATAATCTTTACCTAGATAAGAATTTACTTCGTACGGTAGGTACATTTAATTTGTATGGTGCATATGTGGTTATACATATTTATTATTTTTTTTTTTTATTTATTTATTTATTTATTTCAGGCAACTAGGACCCATAGATACATACCTTACAGACTAACATACATATAATATAACAATAATATAATAAAACAATAACAGAAATATTAAATAAATACCTTACGGACTAATCATAAATACAATATAACATGATAATATACATATAACACTATTTATTTACACGTATGTACTTCGACGTGTGACGCAACGTGGGTGTCCGGTAGCCGTCCTCGGAAACGCCGGTATATGACACCCTTCGGCCAAAAGTCTTCTCTCATGAAGGTCGACAGGTGTTGAGTTGGTACTCGCACCACAAATGAATTAAAATTCACGTTGTGGCGCGACTCCAACCGCTCGACCCTCAGGTTTGCATTGGCCTTCACTCGCATGTACTCCACAATATCTGCAGACTTGGTGGAGTAATGAAGACGCGACACGTATAACAACGTCGTCGGTACCGCTGGACGCAATAAATGATTGGGGCCAGTCAGGGCGGTGCCACTAAGGTTTCGGCTGATGTTCTTCTTTTTCTTTTCCACCTTCCGAAAGCCTTCCTCGTCGCACTGATCAACTCGTCTCGGTGGTACTGACGACGCAGCTCCAGATACGAGTTTCTTTTTCAGTTTTCCCTTCATTGGTTGCCTGGGTTGTGGTTGTGGAGTACTGGGTCGGGCAGCGGCAACAGCTGCGTAATCACGTGAAGGGGTCGTCTCCGGCGGGGCGGGGTGCGGGGAAACGCGCGCGGCAACAGCGCCAGAGGTCGGTGACACATGCATGTGAGCCGACTCAAAACTGCTGAAAGAAGCATTTTGCGCCCCGCGACAAGTGTTCACGTTGCAGGCCTCAGGTGACCTACTTACCGAAGCCGCACTACTAAGTAATACAACTTGGGCACGCAACTCACTGATGGTGTTGTCTGAGGCCTCCAACTTACACTGAACTTCAGCAAGGCTTGCTTTTAGGGATGTGATGTGCTTCAGCAGCCTGGTGACGTCGACGTGGTCGAACGTGACAGGGGGCAGCTTATGCAGCTCCTTCGCCACGAATGCAGATACCATACGATAGAATTTATATACCATACGTAGCGACTAACGATACCGCTGGCTATAATTACTCAAACAGTGGGGCTTACTCAAACAGCACTACAGGGCGCGAAGAGCGCGAGATCTCTGTACGAGATCTAACAGCAGTAAGTACCTACCCTCTTTCTGTTGCATATAAATGATATGTTGATTCCAGGTATAAAAGTCCGTATACAAGTCCGGTTGTATAAAAGTACTGCTGCCACTTATGGGATGGCTCTGCTAAATACCAACTAGCCACCTTAGATTTAATAGACAAGCGTGCTAAGAAGCTTAGGTATAGGTGACTCGGAATTAGTAGAAGCGAAGCTGCAGAGCCTTAAACACAGGATATATCACGGAGTGTGTGCGATGGGATTGCATAATTTGATTCCGTTTTCCCCTTTCCATCATCGGGGGACTAGACGTGGGCTGGGGTTCCACCCCTATGTTGTGGATATTCCCCGGAATCGCACGAAGCGTTTCGCTTCCACAATTGTATGGCGAGCGGCTAGGGAGTGGAATTTCCTGCCTGCAGACTTGTTCCCAGAACGCTATAACTTGGACCTTTTCAAGGCGAGAGTGAATAGGCATTATTTAGGAGTGCATGCTACATCCTCGACCTCATCGTCACTTTCCATCAGGTGAGGTGGAAGTCAAATACACTTATTTTTTTATATATAAGTGTCGCACGCGTTATGTCACTCTCGCGCTAGTCGCTCCCTGTCGTGCTAGCCCTACTGATACATATTTTAGGATAAACAGCGTTTTACAAAAAACATTTACGCTGTTTCGGTTTCTAGTTATAAAAAAATCAGCAACAAACAACGCGAAAACTAGCGGTACATCGGTATTAAGCGTAAGTTTTTGTGGTGAAGTAATGATGTAAGTTCATGGTGGGTGGTAAGCGACATGCCGATCCGTAACAGTTACAGTGCCACTCAGAGCTTTAAATAGCAAAGGTCTGATGGGCTCTAACACTGCGCCCGTCAGCCTGAGACAAGTCGCATATGACAGTATTTTTATCAGCAGCCTTTCCGTTCAAAACCGAAACGTAGTAATGCTCACATTACTGCTTGGCGACAGAAATAGGTAAGGTAGTAGTACTTCTCTGGACGAACTCTTTCACAAGGAGTTCTACTGCTGCAAAAATGATATTACACGTACCTACGTACATTTAAGATAAGTAGGTACGTTATTGTTCAGGTTCTCACAACTTCAAGTAAATTTCATGTACGTAGGTACTTTTTTATGATACGAAGTGACGGGACGAACATGTTAACACGCCTGTCTATAATATAATAGTTGCAGTGCCGCTCTGATTTGAGATTTCGGGGCACTGCCATTGCGCCTGTCACGTCACCCTGTGTACGACGTTGCACATACATAAGAGCGATATTCTTATAGGAGTATTATTAGTAGCAGTAGAGCTTCTTGTGAAAGAGTTCGTCCAGGGAAATACTGCCACCTTACCTATTTCTGCAGCCAAGCAGTAATGTCAGCATTACTGTGTTTCGGTTTTGAAGGGTAAGGGGTGCTGGTGAAATTACAGGCACATGGGACTTGTCAACTTATGTGTCAGGGTGACGTGCGCAGTAGCAGTGCCCCTCAGATCTTTGCGATTTAAAGCTCTGAGTGGGACTGCATTTGTTATGGACAGGCGTGTAAGTTTACCATCAGGTGCACGACTTGTTCGTCCCGTCACTAGATGTTATAAAAAAAAGAAAAAAAGTTAATTACTTAACTTACCCTATCTTGTACACTATTTGCTTTAGCTTTTAACTAACGTGGTTACGAGTATAATGTTAAAAACACTGGTCTACCATAATGTGAAAGTTAAGGTTTTAGAGAAACCTACCTACTGCCATCAGAAAAAAGAAAGGCACAAGTAGCAAATTCAAAATTTGGAGACAAATGAGTTTAAAAACGATCTGGTTTTTCTGACAAAAAGTATAGTTAAAATATATTTTTGATATTAAGTATTTCATTTATGTTAAATATACATACGTAAGTCATATTTTGTACATAAACTTTCATTGTATTTTAGTCAACATTTTTTTATACCTCATTTGTCTCTTTTACTTAATAGCCAAAAATTTATTACTGCGTAAAAAGACGTATCACGTAGATAACTTAAATGTGACTTTTAATACTTGACTTAAAAATATAACTAAAGCAATTATAGTCAATATAGTCAGTTGTGCCTTTTTTGTGTTATTTATTTTTTTATGTATTTTGTTAGACACAATTCCGTACATTACTAAGTAAAACCCTTTCATTTTTATTGAATTGATATTCACTTTATAAAATACTTTTTTAACTTAATAAAATTTCAAGTGAGACCTTTTATGGCAAAAAAAATCTAATTATTGATATCAGTGTGCCTTTTGAGCTTACGGTGTATATAACAATTTTTGGAGATAGATTTTTACAAAAAGTTAGTTAGACAGGCCTTTTTTTTCTGATCCCGAGTATGTACACAACTCAATTTTGATAAAAATGTTAGTTGTGCCTTTTTTCATTCCAACGTCAATATAGTTATAAAAAAAGTTCTTGCTCTCTTGAATATAAAATGAAATACGAAATTGGACACCTACTCGTAATACTTGACGACGTGTGAAGCCACGAGTGCAATACCTACGTCACAGTAAATATCTCGTCACATATTACTCACATTGGTGTGAAGAAACATGTTCTTATTGTTCGTAACTTAATCCAAAGTGGCAACCGGTAGCCGGCTTCTATTTTGAGACGTATGATTGAACAAGGTGTAAAACTTTGTTACAGTTGCATTACTTTTGCTAATTAGCAATTACCAACTCCACATGGTAATCATCTAGTAGTCTTTTTGTTGTACACAGCTAGTGGAAAGCCATGTTATTTACAATATAATTCTGCATTGAAATAAATGATGCCGAATGTGCTAACAAGCCTAAAAAATGTCATTTTTAATCAACGGTATATATCTTAACTTTTTATTTATTGTGTGCATGTTAAGCGATTACTTCGACATTTGTGAAACGATTTTTGTAGAGGGTACCCTGAGGTACCCCCTTTCCCATAAAAAAATAATCAATATCATTTGAATGGGACCACTACAAAATAGTGGTCCCATTCATATTTGAAGAAATTGTTCTAGATACCTCTAGGAGTGGCAAATTAGGAGATGAATCATGTTTATTTTGTTTCACTCTTTCAATACGACTTGGCTAACAAATATATGTAAAATAAAGTTTTAATTATATTCTTTAGAATTATATTTCGTGGTGAAGGTATCTACTTATAGCAGCGATAAGTGAGAGAACACCCGTCTGCTATACAAGAGGTTCGTATCCCACCTGGGAATAAATGTAGGTATCAAGTCCAAAACTCGTGTCTGAAGGACAGATATAAAGAGGTTAGGTACTAATAGGTACCCTCAAATTACTTTATTAACAGGGCATACTTTGTTACTTATTTAATTAGGCGCTTTATTGGTGTACCGCTAAAATTACCTTTATAATACAATGGTCAGCTGTGTGGGCGCAGCCATGAATAAACAATGAGTGGCAACTCGTAATCAGTAGAAATTACGCCGACGGGTGATTAACCAAATTATACGAGGCATTTGTGCGTTCCAGACTCGATTTGATGCAATGTGATTAAAGAGAGCAATCGATTTGCTTAATCGAGGATGGAAATTGTAGTGTGAGGTAAAAACATGCCCATATTGTACTTTATAAAGATCAGTGCCTTGAGTTTACCGTGACAGTTGTCGCTAGCGATCGCGTAAATTACTTCACATTTTTGTATGGTAAATTCTTAGAGGATGGCAAAAAGAGCAAATTATACAGCGCCGATAGCGGCCACAAGAAGAAACAACATTTTGTATACAAACATTTTACGCGGTCGTGTCGCTAGTGATAACTGTCACTGTAAAACTAGAGGCACTGATTCCTGGATTCTACATTACAGAAAGATGAACATGTTCAAATCTTTGACTACGTAATTTGAAGAATAGAATTTCTTTTTTTTTTCTTGACTTTTCGCGGTTTGCGATTCAGCCACTTATAATGTGTTTTTCAACACATTTGCTCGTAACGGGCTTCTTATTGTATCGCTTTTAGGCTCATAAACCTAGCTATTGAACACGCGTTTGTAATTATATTACAAAACGTGTGTGTAATAAGTATAGGCTTAACCGGATTAAGATGTATCTCACAACAAGGCCTATGTATTAAAACTATGCATTCTTAAATTATCCGGGTTATGTCTTTGAAATTAACTTGGTCTATTAAAAAAACAGCTCTAACCCTACATATTATAAGATTCAAATTACAATGACAGTAATCCCAAACAAACAGGGTCACAGTTTTTTTTTTTATTTCTGTTTAATACGGTTGTGTAGTCTTACCTTACAAATAATATTTTTATTAATAAATTTATATTTCTTATTTGATGTGATAAATATAGAAAAACATACACAATATACACCTATAAAACTTTAATTGAATAAAATTACTTATTTTGGATAATATTTTACACGAATTTGAGTGAAATAAGGACATATTTATATTATTTCGCATTGGCTGTTTAGGAATTTCACCTAAAGTGGTTATTAGACTTTACTAAATTTAGTCGCCTAAATCAGGATTCAGAAAAGGAACGAAATTAGAAGCTTCTAATCACACTATTCTAAATTTAGTTACTAAATCAGTTGCCTGCTGAAACGCAACAAAGGCGGACGTTTTACTACTGTAAATAAAATGGCCCCAGTGCTGTACAAAAATCAAAAAATTGGCCTTGCCGTGATTATGGCCATTGGGTCAATCAAAACAAGGAAAAAAAAAGAAAGACGTGGGTCAAGGAATATTTATTACTGCGCGACAAGTTATCAAACATGAATATAATGAGTGTTTTAGAACCGGCAGACTTCAGAAATTATCTTCGAATGGATTCAAGATCGTTCGATATTTTACTAAATCTTGTGACACCATATATACAAAAACAAAATACTATTTTAAGAGACAGTATTAGTGCAAAACAAAGATTAGTAGTAACATTACGATTTCTTGCAACAGGGAATTCATACCAAGATTTGAAATACAGTTCTCTAATATCTCAACCCATGCTGTCAATAATTATCCCTGAAACCTGTTCGGCTATTTATACATGTTTGGAACATTATATAAAGGTAAGTAAATAAAAGTATTTCTTGTTATAAAAGGTTTATTTAATGTGCACATTTTTTTAGATATTTTTGTTCTTTTTACCAAAAATTAAAAAGTTTTTCATAATGTCCCCATTGCCTTCAATCAGCAGAGATCCATCAATTGTCTCCTCCAATGTAGTTGAATGTGAAGGAGGGGATGGGATATGAAGTTGTACAGATGGTAAAGGATCTGAGTGGTGTGGGACTTGAATTGTGTATTCCATGGTTGGAGAAGGTTGGCTGTGGTGTTGTGTGGGTGGTGGTGAAGAATGCGAGGACTGTATTTTTTGCTGAGGTGGTAAGTAATGAAAAGAATTTGAAGATTGGCTGTGGTACTCTGGTGATTGTGAAAAGTGAGAGGACTGTATTTGTAGCTGAAGTGGTAAGTTATGACGAGTATTTGAAGATTGGCTGTGGTACTGCGTGGATGCTGAAGGGTGTGAGGACTGCATTTGTTGTTGGGATGGTAAGTTACAAAGGGGAGAATTTGGCGATTGGGGATACGGGGACTGGTATGGTGACGATGTTCTAACAGGAGGATGAAATTCACTCTGGGCAGATGATGATCGTGAAGGTGTGAACCATGGGTATGGAGCCTTAGATTGATGTGTGGTTACACCTACAAATGATTCTTCAGACAATTTGTTTAAAGTAGCATAAAATATCACATCTGATATTAATTTGCGGGCTATAATATGTTGCCGTTGATTCAAATCTCTCAATTGCATTCCAATGGATCTTCCAAGGATTTCCCAGTCTTCTTCCTTTGTGTTCAATAATTCGGAAGCTTTTTCAAGAATGTCCTGTTGTTGTTTTAAAGGAGCTTCTTTCTTTTTCTTCTTAAACATATTTTCATTGGAAGTACTATTGGTAGAATTTGTCATCTGAGTATCTTCTGTGCAAGATAATGATGAATCCTGAAAATAACAAAATTATATAATTATTTTTCAGTTGCCGCAAACAGAATCAGAATGGATACAAGTAGCAGCTGAATTTGAAGATAAATGGAACTTCAATCACTGTATTGGAGCTTGTGATGGTAAACATATTGGCATCGAAAAACCGCCCAGAAGTGGTTCTCTATTTTACAACTATAAAGGATTTTTCAGCGTAATATTGTTTGCTATTGTCAATGCGAATTATGAATTCATGTACGTCCAAACTGGTACCAATGGCTCCGTTAATGATGCGGCCGTATTTGAATCTACAAAGTTCCATCAAAAATTAGTAAATGGTTGTTTGAATTTGCCACCATCTTCTCCACTATCAGGCACAGAAACACAATATGCTCCATATGTTCTGATTGGGCATAACGCTTTTTCCATTAACAAACATTTCATGAAACCATATCCATTTAAGGGTATTAGCCGTGAAAGAAGAATATTTAACTATCGCTTAAGTAGAGCCCGTAGAGTGGTGGAGAATGCCTTCGGCATATTGGCTTCACGTTTTAGAGTACTACGGAGACCCCTCAGTCTAGATCTCTGCAACTTAGATGCCGTGGTAATGGCGTGTTGTGCTCTACACAACTATTTGAGAAAACAGGAGCCAGGTTATATAACCAGAAAATGGATAGATCATGAAAATACTTCACAAGGCTCAATATGTCAAGGGGATTGGCGAAAATACACTGATGGATTGGCTTCGTTAAAGAACACAAGTAAAAGTCAGCGTAATGAAGAAGGAAACCAAGTTCGAAACACTTTCATGAATTATTTCAACTCAGTTGGCAGAGTTGCGTTTCAAGATAAAATGATTAATGCTGTACCTACTATTTAATAAATAATTAAAATAAAATATACCTGGTCTTCTATTGTGTCCCTGATTGAACGGCATGATTCTGTGGTAGTTTCCAGAAAACTGAAGCTGTCGTAATACCATATCGTTGGTACATATACATCTTCACTCCCTGCACCGGTGTTTTGACGCCTTGACCTTTAAAATAAGTTATATACAAATAAAAACCTATTGTCTCCCCCTTTCTTTGAAATAATATATAAAAGCAACGTTAAAACTTACCTTCTTCAATTCTTTCAAGTAATTTGTTTTTAAATTATCTATTTTCTTCTTTAACGTTTTGACTGTAGCATCCTTATCGATATTTTTGTATATGCTGAGAAGCACTTCGAAACCTTCACTTCTAATGTTTTTATTCATGTAATTCTTATCATTTTTGTTCCATAGATATGGCATGTCTTTATAAAGTTCGATTAAATGGCTTAAAATTTCTTTTTCTTTCGTCGCCATTCTCGGACACTCGCACTTTCTCACAACAAGCGAAGCGACACATTCACACGCGCGAAGTGCTGCGCACCGACTGAATCGACTAAACGCGATCGCACCTTCCTAAATTCGATTCTAGTTAGGTTTCTAAATGATTTAGTGAGTCAGTAGCCGTACTTTTTCCTAAATTTAGAACCTACCTTCCTAAATGCGATTGCATTTGTCTGAATTTAGTAACTGAATCATTTAGGCGACTAAATTTAGTAAAGTCTAATAACCACTTAAGTCTCATTATTGCCGAAGCACCTGCGCGCGCATATCCGCGCCGCGGCGCCAGGCGCAGAAAAAATAACTCTGCGCGCCAATTTCCATTGATACGTTCGAAACATTTATATACGCTGTGTGTTAGATAATTACCTAGGTGTTTAAAATGTCCTGCTCAAGCACGGAAGAAAACATTTTGATGGATTTAACACCGCCCGAAATCCTCACAGAGGCACAAAACGCAAGTGACAGTTTATTACCTTCGAAATCCAGAGAAAAATACATGGCTGCATATGAAACTTTTATACAATGGAAAACCAACAAAAAAGCGTCTTCGTTTTCAGAAAATGTTTTTCTTGCCTATTTTAATGAACTGGCGAATAGGTTTAAGCCCAGCTCGCTCTGGTGCATTTATTCTATGTTAAAGACCACAGTAAAGAACAAGAATAACATAGACATAAAAAACTATTCAAATCTGACGGCATTTTTAAAGAGACGCTCTGATGGGTATGTTGCAAGAAAATCGAAGGTACTTTCGCCAACTGACGTCGAAAAGTTTTTAAAAGAAGCCCCCGATTATCAATATTTAGCAACAAAGGTCAGTTGATCGTATTAAACCTTAATTTTTTTATGTTTTCATTTTTCTTGTATTATATTTGCGAAAATACCTATATTTTTAATTTCTTTACAGGTTGCAATGATATTTGGTGTCACTGGCGCGTGTAGACGCCAAGAACTAAGCGAAGTAACGGCAAAAGACGTAGAAACTCATGGCCAAATGCTTTTGATTAAAATTAACAACACTAAAAATAAGGTACCGAGATCGTTTGCCATTCACGGTCCATTTTACGACATAGTAAAAAAGTACGAAGCGCTTAGGACAGATAAGGCAAAATCCGATCGGTTTTTTCAAAACTACCAGAAGGGTAGATGCGTGGCTCAGCCAATAGGCATTAATAAATTTGGTGCAATGCCTAAAGAAATTGCCAAGTTTTTAAATCTACCCGACCCGGATTTATACACTGGGCATAGTTTCCGAAGAACATCAGCTACATTGCTAGCTGACTCGGGAGCTGATTTGCTTACTTTAAAGCGTCATGGTGGCTGGCGATCTAGCACAGTTGCTGAGTCTTATGTTGAAGATTCAGTTCGAAATAAGTCCAACATATGTACTCAAATAACCCACGCTATAAATCTGGAGCCCCAGGTTAAGAAGATGTGTCCTGAACCGCAGCCATCCACCTCCCGTGATACAAGTTATTTGTTACCTAGGTTGTCTATTTCTGAGTCTTTAAATGAACCACCACCACTTTCATCCATATTTGTACACAATGAACCCGTATCACCGACTTTTACGCAAGAAGACAATAATGAAATAGTAACAAATAATATCACACAGACGGTTCAAATGCCTAACAAAACTGCACGTTACCATTTTGAAAATTGTACATTTAACAATTGTTTTAATAATTAAATTTAAATAACTACATTTTTGATAAAATCAAGATACAATGACTTTGATAGGCTTTGGAGACTCTTAATTAATTGCTATTGATAGATATAGTATAGAATAGAATAATATTATTTACATTAACGTGAGCTTAATATAGTATTCAGTGTATCTGTATAATTAATGCCAAATAAAGCTATTTTTCATTTCCATTTTACTCAAGTTTGTTTCATTTTCCTCGCAAATGTGTTGAAAAACGTCGTATGAAACACGTGTGCTTTGATCATTACACTCTCGGCTTTCTTATCGCGCTCGCCTGCGGCTCGCGCGAGTAATAACGCCTCGTGTGTAATGACCAACTTAGCACACTTGTATCATAATGTACTATTACTTGTTTTAAACACGGCAAAATTTATAATTTCATAGTAATTAAATTAATCGTAGATCAAAGTCAATAATAGAACCAGAATATATAATTTTAGAGTAAAAAAAAATTGGATAAAATTCATGACCAACCAACAGTGGTCGTCGATGTGACTATAAACAATAAAAATGAAAAAGATATCGTAATAGCGCATTTACACCGGTTCATCTGCCGGTCTTTGTCAGGTTAAATAATTCATAAGTTTTAGAAAGCATCTCTGAAAACACTTCATGCTGGTACAATAGGTATTATAACACCAGCAGAGCGATGAAATTGCCTTCTTAACATAGAAACGTACCACCACGGACCAAGATACTACAAAAAGATGTCGAACAAGATAACAAGTAATACTGATTATGCAGTCAACTATGTAAATGAAGACATGCAAAGGCAAACTGCGATAAAAACCAATTTCGCAATAACGCTACTCTTTTTAACCACCCCATAAAATAAACTTTCATCGATATAAACGTCTCACGCGCGTTTTGCGCACTTACATAAACTTTACGCGTTTACTATTGCTTTTGGACTAACTTAAAATTTTAAATTCGAATAGAAAGTAATTCGATGAATAGGTAGTTACCTATGGAGTCTTAAATGAGTATTAGATTTTTGACCTTTCGTGTGTATTTTTTGAAAGTAGAACTGTTTTTTTAAGATTCGAAATTGCTTTTTTTTGTACTGTGTTTTCCACTCTTAAGGTGCATTTCCAACGGCGAGGCAAGACGACATAAGATGAGACGAGGATTGAAAATTGGATGGCAAAATTTCAATTCTGTCTTAGCGTATCTTCGATGTTAATGATCTTTTTGATTGACGAGTCTATGCGAGGCGAGAATTGAAATATTTGTTGATGTAATATTGCGCCAACATAGAGTATTTATTAACTCGCATTTTCTCGCGCGATCTCACGATGGATATTGAGAGCGAGATTGTGAGGTACGTACGAATTAAGATTAAAAAAAATGCTTCAAATGGTGCTTCTTACGTTAAGATGTTTAATAATAATCATTTATGGGTATGTTACTTCAGTTGCGTATTAATCGCTAAACGAACTGAATTGCACTGATCATTCACTAACCCAACCACAGCGCGAGCTCGCGCGCCCTAGCGAGGTCTTGCGATGGACATTAATATCATTCGCAAGCTCGCGAAAGCTATTAATGGCAATTTTTGGTGGTAATACGCCGCAGCGGGCGAGATTTAAATTCTCGTCTCGCGTCGCCGGTGGAAAAGCACCCTTAAAGTAAAAAAGACAAATACACATAAACAAGTTTACAAGTCCAAGAAAGTGTTTCTTACAAAATGAAATAAAACTAGGTACCATTCTTGATTTTTCATTTCAAACAAACCAACCTTAACTGCCTCCGTAGCCGAACAGTTACCATGCTGGACTGCCACTCATAGGTCCCAGGTTCGATTCCCCGGCCGAGAGAAATATTAGTATGGCCTACATTTATTTTTCTCGTGAGTTTAGGTGTAATTTGTGGTTGTATGTGTGTGTGTCCATGGCACCCGCGACACAGGGCTTCCCTAGTGCGGGGCTATGTTGAAAGTGTGCGTTAAAAAATCAATCGTCGTGGCAATGAAACCTGTAAAGAGTATGAAATATTGTTTTGTTTGAAAAACGAATATTATGTACATACGCCAGCACATCAAGCTACACATTGACGTATCTTGTTCCGTTGGACTGGAGGCGATTTTCGAACAAAAATATGTAGTCTGATGTGCCGTTGGCCGTACATGGTTTTAGGTCAGAAAATACATCATTACCAATATATAACAATCGCGTATTTCCTTCATAACCTACCTATATAGAATACGAAAACAAGCACTGATATAAAACTAAAAATGTGTATGTTCAAAATATTTTTTTTTCTGCAGAGCACTCATTAGGGTATTTTAGTGTCCACTGAAAATCAGCGTCAGTCTTTTCTCGGAGGTGACATTAGCTGAGTGGATCCTTTTACATACGCCATAGCCGCACACATGACATCAACTTTAATTGTGTTGACTATTTAAAGTTTGCTTTGTTGTTATTACATGGTTATTACTTATTATTATGATTTTATTTTTATTTCACTTTATTTTGTTCTTTTTGTTACCCTGTACATATAGAGATTATTGTGTTGTGGCGTTGTAATAAATGGTTTCTATTCTATTCTATTTATTATTTAAAATAAAATTATACTCAATAGCACGCCTTTGTGTCGGGTGTGCTATTGAGTGAAATAAAAAAATACTTGGGCCACTGGGCAACTGCAATATGCTAGCCCAAAGGTTTGCAAAATTTCGCTTTTCAAAGCATTACGAATCATCCTACACTTGCAGCCTTTGGGTTGATTTTGCAGCGAGTGCAGCTTTGTTATATTGGACCTGCGCGTTCAGGATTCTGTTGAGGCTGCCGTGGCAATGCAGTGCTTCGGGGATGTTCGCGAAGGTGCACACGGATGACTTCTATGGTATAATGAGAAGACTGCACCTCCACCAACGAACTCCTCAGTGTGTTCATAGACCGGGTGGACTCCCCAATATTAAACAGCATTGGGCAGCTGCACACCAGGATATAATCTTCATTTTATTTTATTTTCAAGCCCACTAACTACAAGTACCGGCACGCTATGATGGCCATTTTGATACATCATCGATAGATTACAATAGTGAGGTTAAATCTCAATTTCATTATCGAAAAAAAATTATTCAAATGCGAGTCGCTTCTATAAGTTTTTAGATTTATAACTAGTATAGCAAGGGGTAGCTAATTAAAAAGTTTTAAAAAAACGAAAATAAAAATGTTTTGCATTGAGCTTTGCGATCCTATATGTGACAATCGTATTAGATTTCATTTAAAAATATTTCGAAATTCGAAAAACAAATGCCGAGTTGTGCAAAATTATACATCTATAAATTTTATTGCACGTCGCTATTGGCAGCAACGTACATCAATTAGCCCCTTCAACGTAGTTATGAATTAATACGAAACTTGATGAGCGAACAAACGTCAAAACGACCATCATAGCGTGCCTAACACTAATCCTAAGAGAATTTTAACTAGCACTAT